AGTGATGATGTTTCTGGGTATAGAATAGATCTCTACGGTGTTCATTACTTCTTGGATATCAGTGATGATGTTTCTGGGTATAGAATAGATCTCTACGGTGTTCATTACTTCTTGGATATCAGTGATAATGTTTCTGGGTATAGAATAGATCTCTACGGTGTTCATTACTTCTTGGATATCAGTGATGATGTTTCTGGGTATAGAATAGATCTCTACGGTGTTCATTACTTCTTGGATATCAGTGATAATGTTTCTGGACTAGTCGATTTATATAGGTAAGGGTTGTTATAGGATGTGTTGATAATGATGCATTTAATGAATCTTGGAAGAAAAACCCATACAATTTTAAACATTGCAGTATCAATTTTGCGGCAATCAATGTGGACAGAAAACAAATACCTTCCCGATTTTGATGCTGACCTGTGTGCATGAAGCTATGAAACGTTATTTAGTGGAACAGGAAACAGTTTTAAGATAAAGGAATTGATACATGATATGACGAATATTCGGAAAGATACTCCCTCTTTGTATTTGATCTTACAACCAACCTATCTGCTGGCAATTCACGCTTGAACTTGGTAAAACATGGAAATCATCAAGTAGAAATACAATTTGGTAAAGCATTACTTAACACTATAAACGTGGCGTGTAGGTACTTGACATAAAAATGATTTATTGATAGATCCTTGTAAGTTTCCATGGGGAATTGAAAATTATTTGCACTCTATATATTTCAAAGAATATTTATCAGTTCCTCTCTGAAAGGCTTTTGCATGTGACAGAAGGGCTGTTTTTGTTTTTCTAAGGTAGAAGGAAACACGTTGTAGAACAACCTTGAAATCTGATTCATCACTCAACAAAATACAAAATTCATATTTATTTCATATGAGGCATAGTTTTAAAGGAACACCATTTGGCAATAACTTGTTTTACAAAAAGATGTCCAAATGTAAATGGCTAATCAGGTCGACAGTTTGACTACCTCGGGTATTTATGTATTGGTCTTTGATTCCTTCATTAAAGTCAAGATTGTCAAAACTACCTGCCATATCCTTTATCCACATAGATGTAGTTAGATGGCTTCTCTTGGCTTTTCCATTATAACTCAGTAGTGTTTCTATGCATGTCTTATGGGCATAGATATTATGAGATATGGGCGATTGCCATGGTCAGCAAACTCTCCAGATTGTAATCCCATTGAGAACTGTTGGTCAGAACTTAGTAGAAAAATTTCTAACCACGACTCTAAATTAGCTACTGTATATGAGCTGCAGCGCTTTCTAGTGACAAGTTGGGATAAAAATACAGAGGATTACATCAATAATCTCATCGACAGCATACCACGTCACCTTGCGATGGTTATTGGAGTATGAGGAGAACCAACCAATTACTGAATGTTTAATATCAACTGATATAAGTTAACAGATGCTATTTATACTAAATTGATGTTATATTATAACATTACATATCGTTTGATAAGGTTTTGTTGTGATAGGTGAAATACTAAACTACACATCTTTCTACACGTGTTTGATAAAATTATTTGCTTTTCTAAT